AATGATGTAGTACTAGGTCCATTTAAATAGCGGTATTTGATAGTAATTAAAAATGATAGGAAGTTAAAAACTAAAAAAAAAAACAAAAAAAAAAAAAAAAAAATAATATGGCATCAACAAAAAAAAAAAAAAAAAAAATAAGGAGACAACATAAAAAGACAAAAATATTTGACAACAAAAACAAGTAAATTACAAAGTCAGCAATTCCAAAGAAAGACAAAAAATGACAATTCATAAGAGACAAAACATAATAGGTCAAGGAAGACGATAACGTGATGACGACAGTGAATGGATGACAAAAACAAGAAAGAAAGAAAGAAAAAGAAGAACATGATGTCTGTTAAAGAAAATAAAAAATAAAATCAGATGATGATATTGAATGGAAGACAAACAAAGAAGAAGAAGAAGAAGAAGACGAAGAGTAGAGGAATAACTAAACAATTGAAGTACGGATGTTGGGAGATTCGGTGCTGGGGAGGAGGCAACACGAAGGAAAATCAGTACCCAGGAAGTAAAACGCGGTTATTGCATCATGACTGTGTTAAGCGTGGCTCATATTGATCACTAAAATGACGATTCTACCAGACTTTATGATCCGTCTCATTCTCTCTCTCTCTCTCTCTCTCTCTCTCTCTCTCTCTCTCTCTCTCTCTCTCTCTCTCTCTCTCTCTCTCTCTCTCTCTCTCTCTCTCTCTCTCTCTCTCTCTCTCTCTCTCTCTCTCTCTCTCTCTCTCTCTGTACTCTCCCCTCTCTGTCTATTTCTCTCTATATATTTCTTTTATTCTATTCTCTCTATGTCCGTCCGTCTGTCCGTCTCTCTCTCTCTCTCTCTCTCTCTCTGTCTCTCTCTCTCTCTCTCTCTCTCTCTCTCTCTCTCTCTCTCTCTCTCTCTCTCTCTCTCTCTCTCTCTCTCTCTCTCTCTCTCTCTCTCTCTCTCTCTCTCTCTCTCTCTCTCTGTCTCTCCGTCTCTCTCGCTCTCTCTCTCTTCCCCTGTGTCTTTGTCTGTCAACATGGCTCTCTCTCGCTTCCAAGACAATGGAAAAGCAACAAGACAGGGCCATCATTGAGCAAGAGATTTCAATGTGGATGTACAGCGTGTGTGCACATCACCCCTGCCCCCCCTCCCCCCCCTATCGCCTCGGACCGGTCCTTGCCCTCGCCGTGTCCTAGGCTATAACGGAGTCCTCAATAATCAATCTCTTCTCTCCTTTGCCGATCCTCCGTCCTCCCCGCCCCGCCCTGTGACCCTTCCTCTTCCTCTTCCCCTCCCCCTCCCCCTCTCCACTGCCCCTCCCCCTCTTCCCCAGCCCCTCCCCCTCTCCACTGCCCCTCCCCTCTTCCACTGCCCCTCCCCCTCTTCCACTGCCCTCCCCCTCTTCCCATGTCCCTCTCCACTCTTCCACTTCCCCTTCCCCTCTTCCACTGCTCCTGCCTCTCTCCCCTCTTCCCTCCTCTTTTTCTCCCTCTTCTTCCCTTTCTCTGTCTTTTTGTCTTTTCTTTTTCGCTGCGGTTTCTTCTTCTCTTTTATGTCTCTTTTACCCTTCATCCTTATCTTCTTCCCTTCCTCCTCTTCAAGCTTTTATCTCTTCTCTCTTTTTTTTCTCTTTACCCTCCTTATCTTCTGTCCTTCTTCCTCTTTTTTCCCCTCGTCTTCCCATCCTTTTTCTATTCTCCTTTCTCCCGCCTCGTTTTCCCTTCCCTCTTTTTCCCCTTCTCTCTCCCTCCTTCTTTGTTCTCCTCACTTCCCTCATTTCCCTTCTCCTCCGCCTCTTTTTCTTCCTTTCTTTTCCCATTTCCCTTCCTCTCCCCCATTTTCCCCTTCCCTTCTTTTCCTTCTCCTCTTTCCAGTTCTCCCTCTTCCTATAATATCCCTCTCTCCTTCTCCCTTACTTCCCTTCCCCCTTCTTACCCCACCTTTTCTCTTCTCCTCCTTCTCAACTCTCCAGTTCTCACTCTTCCTATAATCTGCTTTTCTCCTCCCCATTTCTCATTCCCTCTTTTCCCTCTTCTTCTCCCTCTTCTTTTTCCTCCTTTCCCCTCCCCCTCCTTCTCCCCTCTCCGCTTTCTCCCCACTTTTTCCCTTCCTTTTCTTCTCCCCTTTCCGTTTTCTCCCCACTACTCTTTCCTCTATTTCTCCTCCCTGTCACCTCTTCCTTCCTCCCCTCTTTTTCCTCCTCTCTTTCCTCCCCTCTCCGCCTCATCCTCTTTCCCTTCTTCCCCTTTCCGCCTCTTCCACTTCCTTTTCCCTTTCCTCGCGTCCGCCTCTTCCTCTTCCCCTTCCTCTCTCCTCCGCCTCTTCCTCTTCCTCTTCCAATTCCTTCCCTCACCCTCTTCCTCCCCTTTCCGCCTCTTCCTCTTCCCCTTCATCCCCTCCCCCTCTCCTCTCCCCCCCCTCTCCTTTCCCCTTACCCTTCTTTCTCTTCCCCTTCCTCCCCTTTCCGCCTCTTCCTCTTCCCCTTTCTCCCCTCCTCCCTCCCCCTCTTCCTCTTCCTCTTCCCTT